TGGAAGCTAGATGTGCTATCTGCAGTTGAGACCGGTGGCTGAGAGCTCGTATTCATGACACAGAGATTCAATTTCTACATCCATGCTAGTTACCAGTATTCTGCTTCTGCTCCTTTGGAGACTCGGTGGTCTCATCTACTTGGGTTTGCTGATCGGAAAGTGTAGGGTTATGCAGACATAGTCCAAGAACAAGCATAGGTACAACGAGGCATAACGAGACAATACTCAAGTTTTTCTGGATGTATCGATAGCTCATGCCCATGGCCTCTCTCTCAGGCGATCCCAATGGATATTGGGGAACGACAGTCAAGGGTGAGGCGTAGACAGCTGAAGCCAGCGTGTCATTGCCAAATGGTGCAAGGTTCTTCTCAAGCTCTTTGTACAGAGTCTGTGTCCACATGGCGCCAGACACACAACTACCGAGTGCTTGGCCAATAGCATTTGCAGTGAATACGAGAGATATCAAGACTCCAATGTACTCGTGTTGAGCCACGGCCTGGATAAGAATAAGCGTTGGCCAAGAAAAAAGGCCACCAGCAATGCCCATCACGACTTCTCCGCCAATGACTCCAGATTTGGACCCAGAACCACCTCGGAAGTGGTAGATAAGTCCGAATCCGACGAACAAAAGTACAATGCCAGCCAAGATGATTTCCTTGAGGCGTCGAATCTTGATGACGATCGGGCCGAGGAAAGAGCCTACAATGATGGCGCAGAACTGATAGAGTAACGCCACCCGTGTAGCATCTTTGATGGTGAAGTTGTAGGAGACCACGAGCAAGCTGAACAGATAGTTTCCGATGACCATGAAGGCAAACGGGAAGATAGTGCTAATGCCGAGACAACTCCATACGGTTCGGTGCTTGAGAAGGTGAATTGGAAGCATTGGATGACGTACTTTCCTTTCCCATATGACGAAGATTGGGAAAAGAATAAGACCAATGATGAGAGGTGCCAGGATGCCGGCATCCCTCCACTTGGCACTCTGTCCGCCTGCCAGCGTGAGAGGGATCAACGTCATAGCTAGGGCAGCCGTTAGGAGCAGCACGCCAATGACATCGAGTTCCCAGAAGAATGCCTTGAGAGACGTAGTCCCAGAGGGAGTCTCCTGATCCAGGCTTGAACGCTTTTTCTGGCGCCCGAGGATGAGCATGAGGATGATGAGAGGCAGAGCGCAGATTGGTTTGATGATTGCAAACATGCCAACTCCCCATTTCCAAGAAGTCACTGAGAGAATAGCGGATGTGATATCTCCACTTATCCAGATATTGACAATGGCAGGCCAGTTGGGCACAAAGGCAAAGAACAGCCTCGTCTTCATAGACGTAAAATCCGCAATCATGATCTCAATAGTAAGGATTGAGATCCTGTACCCAAGCGAATGCAGCACGGCACCACCGGCAAAAGTCTGAATATTTCCAGAGTACGTCTGTATAATCGTCCCAACCAAGCTGAAGACGACAGCGAGGGTAAAGATCTCGATACGGCCAAAGACATCAGTCAGCCTCGCAACCGAGGGCTGAATAGCAGAGGCCACGACTTCACGGATGACAATGACCGTAGCTAGGAGGGAATGATTCCCGAAAGATGATGTAGCATAAGGGACGTAGGTGTTTCGTGTCTGGTAGTCAAGGTTCTGGGCGTAGCTGAAGAAGAAGATGCTGGTGAAGAAGATCCATCGTTTGGGAGTTGTGAGCTTGCTAGCTGCTGCTTCCACGCGCAGGACTCCCGGGAGTTTTGGGGCAGCTTGAGGCGTTATTGGGGGACTGAGATCATCCTTCTGATCAAGCTCGATGGTATGAGTTGTTTTATCCATGGTCAGAAATTTGGTGACAGGAACAGGTCTGTGGCCAAAGAGCACAGGAGATGTGTATGAAACATGCCGCTCTCATAGAACTCATAGTTATAAACCACTGGCTTATTAAAAGTGCAGAGTTTTCTCTCCTCCTGGCCCCGAGGTCGGCTCGTCCTAAATGTCTTGGCGAGCGCTAAAGTGAGGCCATTGGATGGATGCTCGCGAGATTTTACGGATGCCCTGATTGAGATTATCTTATCTGATCTAACTAAGCCACGAATTCATAACTCGCCTAAACAGCGAATAGAGTTATCTGATTAGATCCTTGGCATATTTCTAGTGTCTACTATGCCCAAAGGAGCTGCTCGTATGATCCAATGCATGATCAAGTCATGTACCACGATATCCTTGTCTGTTGTTGGAGTAACCTGAATCACATGTCCATTCCAGAACCTTGATACAGGGTCTCGAAATAAATCTCGCGAGGTGGCCTCACTTTCCCGCAAGATATTTCTGATGGGCCGATATTGGGAGGCGAAGGAAGAAAACTTTGCAGAGAGGCTATCCTGATCAGTTCCTTGAAGTTTACGGAATAAATATTTAGGAGCATATGAGAGTCGAAATTATCGGACAGCTTTAACATTTCCGTGAAATCAGAGTGAGGCTGTAGAGGATCATTTTGGATGGTGTTGGATGAGGAGAACCGCTGAAACACAAGGATGTTAGTTCTATAATGGAAATCATGATGCCTGGCAGCTGGCTCTTACTTGAGCCCTGCATATAGTGTTTTTTCTAAGTTCCGCGCAAGGCCAGGGTGATGCTGCCGCATTACTCGATGTATTCGTTGACACCGCGTACCACCCAAGGGAAGTTGATGTCCTTGAATTTCAAGGACTTTAGATTTGTAAGCGTTGATCTCATCTTGATGATAGGTTGTAGGATATAAGAGAGACGTATGGAAATTGGAAGCAATATGTCAGACAAGGTTCGTAGAACTGCGAGGAAAAGACGGTAAGACAAAAGAAAGCAGAGCGAGGACATACGACTTTAAATAGACCTTGAAAGACCAAACATTGCGGTCTGGAGGACGACTTCATCTAACGACCAACGTTTGGAATACCATCATCATAGCTTCCAACAGTCTTCGGCCAACAGTATCTCGGGTGTAAGTGTACTCTTCGAGTTACGTTGGGCCAGGGTCTGTTGCCGCCAAGGCCGTGTTTTACGGCTCTGAGATACATTCTAACCCAGGGCCGCCCGGCCTATAGATTTCTCGATTACGACGGAACTCACTCCAAGTTTTCCCGAGTCACGTGGGTAGCCGCTCTTTCGTGCATCACCTTGGCCTGAACAACCTAAATTCAGATGGACACATTGACATGGATGGTATTAAAATGGCAGCCAATGCCGCTCCTAAATTTTACCAAACATTTTGGACGACGACATCTTTCCGCAGAATGCCGAATTTCTGGAGTCGACGACATTCGAGTACATCTCATGGGACTACAGCGAATATAATCAACAAGCCAGTTGACGAGGAGTTTCTCTACGAGAACAGGCTGGATTACTTCCATCCGACTCAAGCTGGGGATGAACTAGACGGCAGATTCAAAGCAATTGCAAAGTTGGGCTTCGGTGCTGGGTCTACTGTCTGGCTAGCCGAAAATCTCAAGTTGTGAGTTTCGCCAGACTGCTCTCTCTCTCTCCCTCTGTTTGGCTGTCTGACTGTCAGTATGCTAATCACTAAACTCTGTGGACGGCAGTACAAAGTTCTGGAGCTCAGCTATTCCTCGCTATGTTAGCATCAAGATTCCAACCATTGATTCCAATGCTTCTGGGGAATCGAAACGATCAAAGCTTATCTCTAGCACCAATCCCTCACATCCCGGACTAGCCTTCATTAGACTACCGATTGATGAATTTCAGTTAGAAGGGCCTCAAGGAACACACTTCTGTCTTGTTTACAAACCCATGAGGGAGACTCTCTATCATTGGCAACGACGGCTACCAGGACAGAAGCTTCCTTTGCCACTATTCAAATCCTATGCATTTCTTATCCTCCAAGCCTTGGACTATTTACATAGTGAATGTCACTTGATCCATACAGGGAAAGGCTTAGACAACCCCAAGGGTACTTTTACTGACTTCATTTGTGAAAGACATCAAGGATGACAATATCCTGGTTTCGATCGAAAACGATTCCGTGCTGGTTGATTTCGTCAAGAAGCTGACTATAAATCCCCAACCTAGGCATGTACGAACTGATGATGGCCGTGTAATCTATCTCTCACAAGATAATTTTGTCCCATTACGAGGTAACATGGTTTTGCCGGCTCTGGCTGATTTCAATCAAAGCTTCCCAGGACTAGATGGTAACAAAGGCCATCTATCCCCCATCCAGTCTCACCGTTACCGCGCCCCGGAGGTGCTGCTTGGATGTCCATGGTCATACAGCGTTGACATCTGGAACTTTGGCCTGGTTGTAAGTAACTTCAAGACATCTCCTCCAAAGGAAACATCACGTTAATGATTGGCTACAACTAGATGTGGAATATGTTAGAGAACACCAGCCTATTTGAGAGCATCGTTGGCGAGGACGGTGAATACGACGCGCACATCCATCTAGCCCAGATCGTTTCTCTGCTGGGAGAACCCCCTGAAGTATTGGTCAACAGGGAACGTGTCTATCGCAAGCTAAAACTTGGCCGAACAATAGAAAACCCAAGAGGCAGGGGTTGTGAGACTATGAGCGAGTATTGGAGAGGACCCTTCTTTGATGAGAACGGCAAGTCCAGTGATAACATGATCTTTATTTGAATGGCAAAGGCTGACCTTTCAACCTTTACTACGATAGGCAAAGCCATGCGCAAAGACCTTACAGTAAAAACACGAAAACTGGAGGACACTATCACAGAACTAGCAGGGGATGAGAAACATGTGTTTCTGGACTTTGCTTCATCTATGCTCCAATGGCTGCCGGAGAAAAGGAAGTCTGCCAAGGAGCTGTTGCAACATAGGTTCTTCGACTCGCTGGAAAAGGAGCGGGAACGGTATTTCCATAGTCATGTCTGACTTTTGACTGCTATTATAGACAATACTGTACACAATTTTGACAAATACGTCCTCTCGACGCTGCCCTTCATACTCTCTAGCCCCCCCACCCACGTTTGCGTACTGCACTATACACTCTGAGTACTGGATGACCCTACATGATCAAATCAAATACGTTCGTCACATTAACGCACAGCTCACAATCAGTTTCCGAGTGCAACTCTCTCATAACCTCTTTGGCGACCTTCTCAGAGGACAAATCCCGTCCGTATGGCCACGTAGTTGGCATATCCGAGACACCCTCTTCCTTGCTGTCATAAAATAGGTCGGTGTCTCCCTCCCATCCATCTGTCAAGGTTCGTCCATGAATCATGGAATCCTTCAATCCTCCTAGACCTCCGATCATGAGTACATCGTCGCGTGCATCGCTGTAGATACCCTTGCCTCTGAATAGCTTATCGTGTCGTATCCAGTCTTCTGCTGGGTCTATTTTGATGGGGTTCATAGGCCCGAAGCCAACTTGGTCAAGGGAAACAAAGTTATCGTTACCTCGTGCAGCTTGAGATTCGAGATATGCGGTGAAGCCAGGATCTCTATCGACTTTCCAGCTGTAGTCATCGTGGTGTCCTTTGCAGTCGTGGTGGGAGCAAAGTGACCATGTTTCGCAGCTGATCTTGTGGAAGGTGTGAAAGCGGCGCAGGGCCATATTCCATACGTGCATGGCTTTCTGGGGACAGGTTCGCTTTGCTGTTGTTTGTACTTTGCTGGTATCGCATTGGGTGCAGCTTCCGCCGACTTGAGGGAAAGGGGCATAGGCCTCTACGAGGTCGAGCTTCTCTAGATATGGAAATGGGTCGCGATACTCGATGTGGCCTAGGATCTGATTCCGCAATTCGGGAGGGAGACGGTCACGAGTTGCCTCGTCGAAGGCCTGATGTTGTTGTCGTCCGATATGCTCCTCAGACTTTTGCCTGGCATCCAGACAGAATTGGCGTGATCTGCGAAAGACATCAATCCCATGCCATGTGCTCCGGTCAGGATCATTATCGGTCAGCACTTTGTATTCTAGCCATTCATCGATGGGGCCGTCAGAACCCTCCCACGTCCAATCGCAATAATAGTAGTCATTCTCACCACAGTCCCATCGTGGCATCTTTCCTGTGTAAGGAACCCATTCTGTAGACTCTGTTGGGTCGTTGTACCAATATTCCTTTGGTCGGATACCGCCAAGGTCTTTTTGTTCTTGTGGTGAAAGCGCTCCAACCGTCGCACGGAAAGATGGGCAGTCAAAATCTGTGTACACCCAGTCGAAACGCTCGCGATTTGCGCTGAGCGTCCAGATCTCCTTCAAGGGCTCCAAGAGAATGTCGTCAAGATCAGCGATGAACTCGTACAACGGTTTTGTTTCTCTGGCCAGGTCATTGCGATCGAAACCAAGTTTGACTGGAGCCTCACAGAAACCCCATCCAACACAGAGATACATTCGTGCCGCAACGAATTCTCCACACGAAGGGATTCGACGAAGCGCCTCAATAGGGCGAAAGAAAGTACGCCAAGCACGAAAGGCAATCTTTTGACTGATATTCGGATCATGTGGGGTGTCTGAGTTGATGTATTCGGTGCAAATGTCGACTAAATCAGCGATGCTGTCATAAAGTTGATTGACGAATTTCTTGATTTCCCGGGTGGTGTCTCCTGTTCCTCCTATTTGCTGATCTAGATTGTTGATGCGCCTAGTTAAGCGGAAGTTTTTGCGCTGAATACCGTCGACTTGGTATGCGAATAAGTCGTCATCCATCTTTGCGACGTCCTAGTGCTCTGTTGTTTTTGATGAGATGAAGATTGGTGAAAAGGTGTGTTAAGACTTAGGTAAAGTCTTCGTCCCTTAGGATAGTTGTCAGTGGTGTGGTCAGTGGTTGGTAACGAGGTCACACAAGAACCATTGGATGTTCTGATTCACAGTGAGGGCCCGCAGCACTGTTTGTCGGGTGCACGCACTGCTTTTCCACTTTATGTCTTTAGATTGGTTAAGTGAACATGCAGCGGGCCAACTAATAAGGTCTTGAAGCGAACAGGCTTGGTCATTGGACATAGGGCAGTGCAGGAACAAAGAGGCGGGTAAGCCCAACAACCCACCAAAGTTACAATCACCGGTGTGTGACTGAGAACTTATGCAAGCCCAAGTACAAGGCTCTTTTGACTAGCATGCTATCAGCTGCCTGCGTCAACTCGAGGGGGCCATTGCAAGTGCAAGGCTCCTCAGTTTCAAATGGAAACTTCACGCCGAAAATACAACTGCTGCCTTGAAAGGTAGTGGGTGTGTGGCATGTCCTTTTCTATTTTGAGCCAGACGTGTCATTCGTAGTTGAGCCCTATGGCTGATATGGTACAAGTAAGCACCACAGAGAACTAAGAAGTTAGCTGTTGATACACTCAACTCTTGATTTTGTATGCTGTCAAACGGCTATTAAGATGATAGATAAAAGGAGCCTCTAGACGCGAGTTTTCACATGACAGAATCCTAAGCCCGTTGTATCACGCTTGACTATCCCCCCCTTTTCGCTGGTCCTACAGATTTGACACTTCACACATACGTGTTTCCCGATGGTTTTACAAGACTCCAACATTTCAATTTCCTATTAAACAAATCACAAAAACTACCTTATCAGAAACTCTTACATTTCCCACCCCAATTTTCCAGCGTCACTCCAGTTCCAGTATATCTCCAGCCTTCCGTCATTGTGGTGGTCGGTACTCTTCAACTACTCGTTCGACAGAGGTCCGTTGCTGCGCCTTCTAGGCCAAACTAACATCTTCTAATACTTAGATAAAGTTAGTAAAAGTCCCCTAAACTCATACTGAATCACCTAAATATTTTTATTATTTAGGGTCACGGTTCTGGGGTTTCCTCACCTAGGCTCTGGTTTTTTGGAACGAACTCTCTCCTGGCGAGAAGAGCAAGGGGGTACTTCCCCGCCAAAAAGTTCTTTGCCGGGACACCACTCGCATCGCCCCGGCCACGAGTGGAGGTCCATGATCGCCAACTCAGCCGCTCTCCTCACGAGCAAGTTCCGGCCAACAGCCCACTGGGCAGTGCTCAAGGTCATAGTCGTCCCAGTTCGAGGGTCGTCCCTCCATGCCCTCAGAAGCGCTCTTCCGTGGAGCATGCTGTCTACCAAGCCGCCTAGAGCACCTGTCATAACCCAGTCTTGGTGGGTTTCGCTGTAGATCCGATATCCTTGATGGAGCCGTTTATCTCGAATCTCATCGTCCGCTTTGTTGAGACGGATATGCTGGACGGGGCCTAGGCCAACTTGATCCAGGGATATGAACTCGTCGTTGCCTCGAGCAGCCTCCTTTTCGATAAACAGAGTGAAATCGGGATTTCTGAGAACAGCCCAGCTGTGGTCGTTGCAGTCGTGGTGGCCTCTGCAGTCACTACCATGACTACACAGAGACCATTGGTTGAAGCGGTCCTTATGAAAGCTGTGGAAGCATCTTAATGCAAGGTTCCAGATGTATAACCCTGCCTGGGGGCATGTGCGCTTGACGGCCGAGGTCTCATCCAGATGCTCACACTCAAGGCATCTCTCGCCGACTGTAGGGAAAGGGGTGTAGACTGCCCCAATGTCGAGTTTCTTGAGGTAAGGGAATGGGTCGCGGTCTGTAAGGTAAGATTGAATCTCTCTTTGAATCTCCCGTGGGATGCGGTGACGGAGTGAAATCGTGTTCAGGAGTTCTCGTCGTTGGGCACCGAGGTTTCCTTCCGCGATCTGCTGTGCGTCCAGGCAAAACTGCCAAGAGCGGCGGAAAACGCAAACCCAATCGAGTATGTGATCCTGTCCATCCTGATCTTCGCCTACAAATTCAATCTCATATTCAATAGCAGCTGTGATCGGCTCGGCTTTTCCTTCCATCCCCTGCCAGATCAAATTCGGGTCCAAGCCCGTTCCTTCTTCTGGGTACCATCGTGGTTTCGGCCCTGTGTATAGTTTGATGTCCTCCTTGTCGTCTGGTTCTGAGTAGTAATACCGTCTTCCCTGCTGTGTTTTGCTAAACCGGCGCTTATACTCTTCAAGTGAGAGGCATACGGTATTTTTAGCATCCAACTGGCTAATCGGCCTATCAATTCGATAATCTGTGAAGACCCAGTCAAAGTATTCAGTCTGTCGGCTACAGATCCAAATGTTACGCAGGGCGCCAAGGAGAACATCGTCAGCCTCTGTGCAAAGCTCATATAGCTCGGCAAGGTTCTCATCCGTTTTGAGCTTATTATCAGCATCCGTTGTGTCAACATCATACTATCTGGGGACACGATGGCGGCTTGTGAGCTCTGAACCGAAAAACAAACACATCCTGGCGACTACAAAGTCGGCACCAGGCTGAGGCAGTTTCACGATAGCTTTGATGGTGTTCAGGAGATCTCGCCAAACATCGTAGAAATAAGCTTCATTACATTGCCCAAACCGCGGAAAGACATCACCGTATCTAGCGATGTTTCTGTAGATCTTGTCAAGAATGCGTTGCAGCAAGGTTTCTCCGTGCAGGGTTCCTCCGTGCAGGTTCTCTTCGTAGGAAGGGGTGACACTTTCAGCGTCGGGCTTCTTTTGCTGTTTCTTTGTGAGCTCCTCAATGAGATTTATGATCTGTTGGTTCTCATCGAGGACTGCCCGTACGTCGGGGGGCGGAGCGTCTTCGCGTCCCATGTTCGAAGTCGGAAGTTGGCAAGTTGAAAGATTGACGATGTTGTTGACTTTGCTCTGTCACTGAATTTTGTGTAGTTTTCCTCAGACGATATTTACCCCAGTGTGGGGTCACGTGGTATGCTCACAGTCTAAGGGTGAGTCCCTGGCTCATCAAATGCTCAGGCAAACTAAGGTGACTTTAGGATAACTTATGGTAGCATAAGATAACCTCAAATAAACGTAAGGCGGCCTTAGGACAACTTATGACAATGTAGGACAACTTGTAGTAGTGTAGCATAACTTATGGTAGGGTAGGATAAACTTGGGAAAACTCTTTACTCCATGAGTCCTTGGCCCTTGATACACGATCTCAAGTCTTTTGGGCAGGAAACTAACAATTAAATAGCAATGCATCAGCAGTACGATCCCTAAGAAGAAGCAAGGTTACAAGTCTATTGCTTCGCTGTTTCTCTGCTGCGAGCTCCTCCACAAGATCCATGATCTGTTGATTCTCATCAAAGACTGCCCATACTGTGGGGGGCGGAACGTTTCTGCGTCTCATGTCTAAAATCTTTAAAAGTTGGTAAGTTTAGAGATTGACAATGTTGTTGAGTGCCTTGGCTCTGTCACTGGTATGGTTCGTGAGAGGCTGAGGTCAACGATGGTTCCCCGTGTAGGGTCACGTGGTAATCAGGAGTAAATCACGATACTTAGGGATAAAACGGCTTACTAAAGTTGTCCTTGGCCGCTAATACACGAGCTCAAGTCTTCTTAGAGGGCACCAGCACTGAAACAACGATGCAGCAGTACGATCCCCAAGAGGAAGCAAAGCAAGCTTACAAGTTCTGCCAAGACATGTCGTCTAAGGGGGTCCACTGCACTAACGCCTTACGAGATGACGATGTGCACAGTCAATGCGGGCAAATTCGCTACGGCAAACAATCCTTAGAGCCCCAAGCCAAAGAGCAAATGCATAACAAAGAAAGGGTATAGTAGATTGGTACGTAGTTGGGCAGTTATAATGAATTCGTGAATCCATTCGAGTATAAACAGTATTGGATGAATATCCGTGGTAGTAGAAAGTGGACCTCCCCTTGGGTGACAGACAGTCTAGTACCTGACTAGCAAACAGCTTTAAAAACGCCTCCAATGATCGTACAGAATAGAAAAACGCCGAGCCAATGTCAAAGCAGAGCTAGCAAATAGTGTTGTTGTAGTGGCTGCATCACTACTATCGTGGTGGACATACGTCCAAGTGCCGTGTTGGCTGGTATTATTCGTCCATAATTGGTGCTTAAAACGAGAGCACTTCCATAATATCGCCCATTGGGCTTGCTTCTCGCTGCGGTCGACCGAATACAAGCGGTGCCAGTGAATCAACGCCCGAGTCCTCCGCCTCGAGGCTCAGTGTAGAATTACTCGATATCGATCGCGATGGGGAAATAGTCTTGTGTGAAGACGACGGAGGGGGAGCTGGCGCAAGATACGCTGAGAGCAGAGCATCTAGGTCTGGACCACTCGAAAGCGTCGGTAGTACAGGTCGACTGATTCGTCTGTAATGCTTCGTTGTCGGCGCTGCTGTTTTCGGACGCGCAATCGGTGCAGAGACAGCTCGTTTGCTCGGCGTGCGCGTGAACAATCTAGGAAGTTGCTTAAACGACTTTCGAATCGACGATGATCGCGCAGGTGCAGTCTTGGTCTTGGTCACGCCCGTAGTCGGATGCTCGAAGAAGTCGATGCCGTGAGAGACGGGAATGTTGCTCGAGACGGTATTGTTAAAGTCTTCAAGGAGAGTGTGAATCTGGGCCTCGTCGAGACCCTCCACCAGCTCAAAGAGCTGGTCTACCGACCCGCGGCGGTTGAGCTGAGGCGAATGGGCTGCCATCCTGTAACGAACGCAACGCTCTCTCTCATTGAGAGTGAGTGCAAGGCAGAGTAAAAAAAAGAGAGTGAGTGGGGGAGAGGTGAACGATTGGTCAAAGCTACAGGGCGAGGGAAGACATATTGTAAGGAGTCGATGGCGTGCGGGTCCCCCGACATGGATGTTTCAGTTGAAATTAAATGAGCCTGCAATGGGTTAGGCCAAATACCACTCTCCAGGGGGATCTTCCGATACCTCATCAAAACAGATGAATCTTAAAAATGTTTGCGACAGAGTTACATGCAATTGGTAAAGCAATGCCATGAGACTATTGTTTGCGGTGTCATGCGCCTTGTTGGAATGCATAAGGCTGCTGAGGGCATTCGCGCTGACGGGGAGATGCGTGTCACAGGGTCAATCTGGCTGGCGCATTCAGGCACCAAGCCGAGTCTCTATTTTTAGCGAGACTTTTATGCTGGGTTTGTTTACTTGGTCTCGTCACATCGTCTGTTGTACAAACTCAATATTGGCATTATACGAGCCAGGCTGCTCGAGGCCTCTTGCTCCAGCAGATAAGCCATTTGGTTCCGGACAGGCTCATCTCGTACTCGGAGTCAAAACTCGCCCAGAAAACGCCGCCGCATCTCTTGCATATTCCTAAGAATTAAAGACCAGCGTTAAATTAGTCAAGTCAAAAGCCGTCATTCCTTTGTATAGCACGTGGTCCTCATCATGGGACATATCTCAATTCTTAGTGTTTCAAGCAATTATGTGATGAGAAAGAGACTGACTCCAAAAAGCAAAGTCAGAAGGTCTTGCATCCATTACCTTCACTTGTGGGACAAGTCTGAGGCTTTGTTACACACGCGAAAAAGATCGGCTGATTGTCATTCCATTATTCAAGAACGCAATCAAGTCTGCACGGGACATGCTAGTACCTCTGGCGGTGGACAAACATTTCGGGTTTCATGGTGTTGTGATGTACATACCCGTTATTGACACTCGTTGATATCTCCATCAAATATGTGACAAGAACCGGCGCATGTTGACTATCTGACACTAAGAACTTTGAGTACACAATGAACAGTGCGGAAGCCATTGTACATATTCCTGATATCAATCATTTCTTCTATTTCTTTTGTTTCTTATCCTTGAACCCTATAGGGCCCTTCTAATCCCACGCCGCTATCTTGATGGAAATTTCGAGGTTTTATCTTAGTAACAGAATGTTGTGGTAGGTGAAGGAGATTATACATCCGGAGTTTCCAAGACGTTCTCAATCCATAGCCATAGTCTCTTGTCCGCGACAAAGTTGGTGTTCAATTCAGACATCAGTGTAAGCTTTCTTGCAATCACGGCTTCGACAGAAACAGTTGTTTGGCCATTGGCATCCTCTTCTTGTGTTGGTTCGTCTCCTTCTCCAGATTCACCTTCTTGGCACAACTTGGCGAATAAAGCCCGGCCAGAATCTTGCATACTCCTCTCATGAAACTGTCGAGGGATATCATCTGAGTTCTCATTGTACACAAGATCATACAGCGACTTAAAGAGAGTGTAGTCTTGTGTAGAGAGCATTCGGACCAGCCGCAAGAAATACCACATCTTGTCAGCTCTCGCCCATTGCTGAGGCCTCAGCACTTGGTCCCCATCGCGGAATCCCGCTCTGAAAGCTGCAATAAGTGACGGCTTAGGCGGTGACAGAGACCCATTGAGTCCCGGAGTGGAGAGTAGTTCTGAGGTTGGGCTCGCCGACGCAGAACTCCAGTCGATGATACACGTTATGTTAAAGTCCTCGTCGACAAAGATGTTGCCTCGATGAAGGTCTGGGTGACAGAGTACAAACCGTTCTTCTGTCGTGACAAGGTGAGGAATTATTTCGTCCAAGAATTGGCCTGAAATACAGAAGTCAAGTCGGTTCTTGTTACCCTCAACCTTGTCATCAATGGAACAGAAATGTTGCCATCTGTCTACAGCCTTTTGATAACTGGTCCAGTTCGGATATTCGAAAGGGCCGGGTATCGGAGCGAAGAAACTATGGGGCGTGAGAGAAAGCTCTTCAGCATGAGTTGTAAGGGCAGAAATCAGGGACCTGAGATACTGGCTTTCCCGATCAAAAGGGCCACGGTCGATGCCTACGAGCTCATCTCTGTGCTACCAAAGGAGAGAGGGACTTAGGCATTCGCCAACGAAATAGCTGCCGTTGCTGTCCTGGACTAGCGAACCAATCTTATCGCAATGAGTTTCCAAGAGACGGGACATGATGGTTCCTAACTGCGCCATTACCTTTTCCCGATCTCGGTCCGTCGTGGGTAGAAGTGGACGTCTGTTTGGATACCCTTGTATTTGAGACAGCTCGATCCAGTCATAATCAGACAATGTACGACCGCTAGCTTTGCTCATGAGGATATACGGCACTCCGATGTCATTGTCACCGTCTCCACTGTTTGATCATATCAGCATCTCTTCTCTCTTTTTCAGGTGCATTTGTTGGGGAGCATGACAAACTCACCTGAACGAGAACACTTCTGGTACCGGCATCGAACCCAGTGTCCTCAGATACTTGAGAGTTACAGCCTCGCTAGTGAGTAACTTCGACGCAGATTCTTCGGTGATAATGGCGCTCAGTCCTCTCCGTGGCGATCGGAATACCCATTCGACACCATCCTCAAAAGTGATAAAAATGACCCAGTGTGTACTACCAGCTTTAGGCCTCGTCGACGTATCAACAGTGCATGATTGCCCTCGAAGTTTTGAGGCGAGAGAAATAAGAGCGTCAAGGTCAAAAGTGGCATATGCAAAGACTTTTGGTCGCCTGGCTTTGGTTGACATGATGTTGCTCGTAAGCCGTGGCCCAAACTGAGGTTCAGTTGCAAGAAGTGTAAATAGAAATCGTGATCCGGCATTAGATCGGATCAGCGAAAATCCGGTGCCTTCAATTGGTGAATAAGTTGCATGCTTAATGTTGGATACCGTTGGTCGATGTCCAAAAGCTTTAGTGCAACCTACTCTGTTGGTTGTCCCCGTCTGGTTGGCTTCAGCGCCAACGTCCTTCGGGTAGCCTTTAGCCACCGTTGAGCTTCTACGACCGGTGCATAAACCAATTTCAAGCTACTATATAGTTTTAGTCTTGTATCCAGCGATAGACACAAGTTACGCGTTTTATAATAACTTTAGGGTAACGTTATGCAGGCTTCCTATTTAGGCTGTTCCAACTCTCACTGCCGAAGGATTCAACACGCCAAGGATCAGAGCGCCAGCCACGCGCAGACCACAGCATAGCCACTGAAACTAAGCCCATTTGATGACGTCCAAAGCTACAGTCAATTCCCGAAACCCAACAATCACCTTTTCACTATCATCACCTCACAATCAACATGGACACCAATGACACGAAGCTCAGAGGTCTCAAGGCTTGCACGGTGTGCGCTAGTGCAAAAGTCAGGTGTGACATGGTATTGGGGCAGAAACGGTGCACAAGGTGAGTTACTCAGCATTGGAGCTGGGGGTAGAGCTAATATCGGGGATAGATGTGAGAGATTGAATAAGGAGTGTGTTTCTCAGCCGAGAGGGAGTCATAGTCGGAGGAGTCATTCGAAAGGAGGGACTTATGCTCGAGAGTTTGTATACTCAATCCTGCTTACTGACAGTTGACTGACGTTACAAGTGATCTTCTGAGACTAGAGTCCAAGTTCGATTCAGTCGCAAACCTCCTATCATCCTCATCAACAGCCCCTATCCCCTCAATAACAATAGCAACTCATCCTCGAAAGGCATCATCAGCTACAAGTTCAAGTTCACAAACGCCACCGGAAACACAATCACCCATCCACGCACTGTTTTCATTCCCGCTATCATCTAGCTCTCACCGTCTAGCTTACAAAATGCTGGAAACCTATCGTCAAGAAATGATGCCGCTTTTTCCCTTCGTGTGGTTAGGTTTGGATGAAACTCCAGAGGCATTATTCCAAGAACGACCGATGTTGTATATGGCGATCATGGTAGTTACGTGTCAGGAGAATATTGAGGTTCAGCAGGAACTTGCGCAAAAGTATCGAGAAGAAATTGGGCGGAGAATATGGACGCTTACGGAGAAGAATCTTCAGCTCCTTCAAGGTATTTTGGTTTTCTTGGCATGGTAAGTCTTTGGTCTGGAGCAAACAATTGCACGTACTGACATGTGAAGGTACCAAACTCACTGGGTGCTTGGTCACCAACTCAGCAACCTCATGTACACGGCCATGTCACTAGTCACAGAGCTCGGGCTAGACAAAGAGCCTTCATCCGGCACCAGGACTGCACCTGGGGTTTTGACTGAAATCACAAAGAAGCAAGAGCCTCAGTCTGTTAGAACAAATGATGAGAGGAGATGCCACTTGGGAGTCTTTTGGTTGAATTCATTGTAAGCGAGAACCACCATATAATCTCAACATGCGAACTGACCTGATCTAGACTAAGAATTTGTGTCAAAGACATTGTACCGATGCCCTCACGTCCCTCCATCAACAACAGCTACTCAATTCTCGAAGCGGGACTGGAATCTCCCTGGGACACTTATCTTGTTCAACTGGTGAAGATACAACTCGTTGCAAGTTCTATCAGCGCAACGCTGTACCAAGACTTGGAAAGAAACGAGGCACAGATCTCGCATACGCTATTTATGGCAACCTCACATGTGGAGAGACAGGTACAAGACCTCGGAGCGACTCTGCATCAAGGATCCCGTCTTCAAGGTAGTACAACAACTAAAACTTCTTCGGTACCTGAATCTGACCTTCAGCAGCACCATTGACCATGTCATTCCACATGCTCCAAGTCTACCTCTACAAGATCGGCATCGACGAACGCCTCCACGAACCCACAAACCCAACCCTCCTCTCCTCCTCCGACCCCTCCCCCCACGCCCTCCGCTGCTCCTATCTCCTCGTATCATGCCTCAACGCCGTCAAAGCCGTAATCGAAAACTTCCTCCTCCTCACATCCCCCACCATCCTCTCCATGCCGTACACCTACTGGATCCAGATGGGACACTGCATAAACATGTTTTCCCGATTGTTGGTTACACACTCCACCCTCTGGGATCCGAACCTCGTCACGGGCATACACGATTTCACATCGACGCTGGAGCGGCTGGCGGTCAAGATTGAGGGGGCTATGAGTGAGGGGGCGGGCATGACGCCACCGAGATACTTGCCGTCTATGTTTAATCAGATGAGGGGCAAGTTGATTGATATTTGTGGCAAGGTTGGGGAGAGCTCGAAGGCTATGGCGCAGGGATATGTTGGGACGCCGACGGCGCCGGAGAGTTTTGATACGGGGAATATGATTATGGATGAAGAGACTGAGGCTTTGTTGTTTAGTTTTCTGGGCGACGGAGACTTCTTATGAGCGTCGGACGCATCTCAAGCGTCAGCCAGTGGAGAAAGATACCATTAATCATGATAGATTTAATTCTATCGAACCATTCTAGCAAGAATCAGAAATCTTTCATTCGTAGTGCTTATAAGATCGGCTAAAACTATCGCGACAATCTCACTGCCGAACATCCCGGCTACAACTTCCCGAGTATTCGTATGGACGGAAACCTGCATGACGAAATATCGTAGGATTCATTTTCTTGATAAGCAATAAGCCCAAACGCCAGAGTAGCCAATCACATCTCCCAGTTTTTGGGCGTCATAATGTGGCAGAGAAATGTTGTTTATATGAATACAAGACATTCCCATCGTCGGTGGCTTTTTTGCCGAGGTTATCAATCCCATCCATCCCTTGAAAAATTCCAAACTACCAACTTCACTTCATCTTGATCGACCATGAAAATGTTCAGCGCTTTGTTGACAGGCCTGTACGGCAGCTTTATAGCACATGCGTATCCCGTTGATCACCCTGCCAAGTTTTCAAGGCTTGTCGTTTTTGGTGATAGCTTCAGCGATAATGGGAATGGATCTTGGGTCGTGAGCAATGGGACTTGGCCTGTTGACCCAGCGTACTATCACCATTCTTTCTCGTGAGTTTTCTTGGCCTCAATTGATATTTTATACTAATTCTCAACAGGAATGGACCGAAATGGAATGATGTAGTGGCCAAACAGCTGGGTCTTGAGCTCATCAACCTCGCGACTGGTGGAGCGACTACCAACAATGATTTCGTCGCTGGAGGTACAGGTGCTGAGTCCACGATTCCTGTGCCTTCAGCTGCAGATCAAGTTCTGTCATTTCTATCATGGGATAAACCTCAGGCTGGTGATATCTTTGTCCACTGGATTGGTGCCAATGACATTCTTTTCAACACAAGTATTACCGGAGCACAAGTCACGAGCTTGATCAACGAGAACGTAAACAGACTCTTCCAAGCCGGTAAGACCTCCCTTCAAACTCAAAATTCTCATTCTGATTCGCTACAGGTGCAAAGACTATTATCCTAGCAAATTATCTCAACGCAACAACGTTTCCAGCAACGTACAATTCCTCAGCCTACAACGTCCCCAGCGTGCAAGAATATGTTCCGGCCTTGACAAAGGGTCTCGAGCAAATCGCAGCAGGATACTCAGCATACGCCAAAACCGCAGTGATCGACGTGCAGGATCTCTTCAACGACATGTTTTCGGATCCCGAGGCGTACGGGTTCGATGAGGACTATGTTAATCCTCCGACTGCATGTCTCACGGGCGTTTATACGAGCGAGGGTGTTCCACGACATTTATGCAGTGATCCCGACAAGCATATCTTTTTCGATTTGTATCACCCCGTTAAAGAGGTACATGCTTTAGTGGCAAAGTTGTTCGTAGACAGTATTCAAGGGTTCTCAGCTTGATCTTGTCGGCCAGGCCTTGGGCATCGGGTCCGGAGCATCGCGAGGTCTCACCGACTTACTTGTCAAGTATCAGCACATCTTCTCATTATCAAGTCTTGGTCACTTACAAGCCGAGAAGTCGTACCTCGGGGAGATACCGATCGTTCGGGATGCCCCTTGGCGTTCCAGTCAACGTTCTTGAAGACGGGCTTGGGGCTATTGGTCTCGTCACGAGTTGTTCTACCCAGGGGAGACTGCTTTCGGTTCAGGCTTTCTCCAGTTCCCCCGCCATCCCAGTTGACCTGTTTGAAGCTGGGTGATGCGGTGTGGTCGTCCCTGGGCCTATTTTTATGCGGGATAACATGGCTTCTAATGGGTCCAAATTCGTACAGGGGACCTTTGCCGGCTTCAAGGCAAGCCTTACCCTTTCGCTCGATGTATTCACCACCTGCGTTTCTGAAAATATAATTGGTGTGACGATACTTCCATTTGTTGTCGTCACGAGCTTCTATGTTCTTTTCTCGGATGAAAAAACACATGTCGAAAAGTGTATCGAATTTTGCAGGGCGCAGACTGTAGATAAAGCGTGCCTGCAGGTAGCTGAGAAAGACACCATTCTACAAAGTGTAGTTGAGGCATGTGGCAGAGAGACAGAGCTGAAATGGCGGCGCGACAAAAGGTGAAGTTAATTCGAATTCTTCAGTGTTGCTGGCTTGATATGTGTCTTTGAAACGTCATAAGCTTCAACTGTCAATCAAGAAAGGGAAAGAAATTATGAAAGAAGAAAAGGGAATCCAAGCGGAGTACCTTGGACAGGCCGCGCCAACAAACCAGGACAGGCGCGTTTAGTAACCACGACCACCGTGATTCATCATCGGCCCCAGACTCTTGCACTTTGTAGCTCCCCCTGGAGCCGTACAACGAGTGTTGGATTCGGAAGACTGAGGTAATCCTAACTTTCAGTGGTTAGAATGTGTTATTTGTAGTCCAGGCTTGTGGCTGAGATGAGAAGCTGAAAGCTACCGAGTTATGTGGGCAGTTGGTATAAATCTGTGTTTGTTAGCCTTTTGTTGGTTATCTTCCCCAATGATTGCGAGATAGCGACTTTTGTTATAATACATGGAAGGACTAGGGGTGAAGCGTCTTCGAGTGATAGGTCTGTATTGTCTCGAAGATAGGTACCTTAGGTATGCACTGTAAAATTCCATTGGCACTTGACCATTTTGACCTTACAATTCGTCGCCTCTCGAGTGAGGAGTTGTTACTGTAGCCCACGTGAAGAGACCAGCCAACTCCTGCCCTCCTCAATTATCGTCTACAGGGGTCACATCTCCTCCCAAATCCCCTTTATTTTCTTTCTCCTGTACCATCATCAACAACAGCACAAGTCACCACTTATCGGGATCTTTTGTCACGGCATTGGTTCATACTTCTTCATGCTTATGACGTCTAAACGAGTCATTTCAACCCAACACAACGAAGCATCCCGATCAACTTTCCTTTCCTTTCTTACCAATCCTCCCAACCCAGACACTCCTCACAATGTGCTGTGGCAGCTCCAAAGACGTGAAGCCGCCCGCGGTGCGAACCCCTGGAAACATGGGGATTTATCGCAACAACAATTTTCCCATGTACCCAGAGGAGCATGCAGAGGACAAGTTTCGAAGGGACGAGTACCAGTCCCACAAGCACGATATGATGAAGAGCCAGCGGAACATCCAGGGCCTCGGGTAAGCACTGCCATTTGACCTTATCAGAGAGTTGAGTTGACTAACGGTATTCCAATCCAGGCGGTTCAAGGGATTCCCTTTGCCCGGCGAAACACCTCCCTCAGGTTCAGGAAGTTCAGGGCGTTCATCCCCTGCGCCAGTCGCCGAGGTGTCAGCCAAAGCCCGCGCCTCAGTAGCTAATTACCCTAATGTACCGCTTGGAGGCAGACGGCCTTCCATAGGGCGCTTCGACAGGTCCCCTGCCTTTGGATAGGGAGGGAAGTTGGGGAGAGAGTTCGCTCCCCCACAACATCCGTATCTGGAATCGATCAAAGAGAGGGGAGCAAAGAGAGCATACTCAGGCTTTCCATGGATCCATACCGGGAGTGGTGGTATGCAAGCGATAAGTCAGGGAGGAAAGACTGCTGAGTGATGCTTATGATGTCTCAACGAGACGTGTGTGAGGCGCGAGTCAGTTTAGGCAGTATATCAGTTACCAACACAATTGCGTAAGATAAGCGTTATAAGTCCATTTGATGATGATTACATCTAATACTGAAAGAGAGCACTAAACATATTCCCCCAGGGATAAAATGGCTGCCCCATTCCGCATCGTAGCTCTCCAGCCCAAGTCTCAACGAGAAATATCAAGCCAACTCACTGAAGGAAAGGCTGCCTAAATTATCTTGCTACCTTTATCTCAAGTAATAAAAGACTTGAGTCACTTACCCTCACCTTAGGCGACTCTTTACCAAGTTTATCTTAACACTCTCTTCTCAAGTCTTAAGCTTTCTTGCTCCCTGAGGTCTGTCAATACACAAACACAAGCCACTCCCAGCACCCAAGACAACCGAAAGCATCACCGTAACGGCAAAAGAGGCGGCAGCACATTGCTTCGATCCTATCTCATGAATTTTACTTGTAACGTCATATTTTTACATATCCATCCCCCAGCATACACCTAATATACAAAGTCCCCTCTTCACTCTTACACCAAATGCCCAAATCATCAAGGATGCATCCCTCCATGCTTTTTCTATAAGACCTCTCTTCCCAATCTGAAGTATGGTATTTTGTAAACAGAGATCCCCTATCGTAAAAAAAATTACAAGACATTAATTAGTGGAGATGTGCTTGCCACCTCACTCAGCGGTCCACCCCTTTTCTAGGCCTTCTTCTCAGGTGGTGGTGCACCGCCGCCGAACATGCCAGAGAACGAACCCATCATGCTGTTCATAGCTTCCTTCTGGGCCGCCTCCATCATGGCGGCTTCTTCCTTGAGCCATTTCTCGCCGTTGTCGCGGATCTGCTTCTCGAGCTCCATGTAGTTTCGCTGGCCGCGCTCGCGGGCAACGTCTTGGAGCATCTTGCCCTGCGCAAAGGCCTCGGCGGGGTTTTGCTCGCCATCGGGGGAGACCATCATGCTCATGTTGCTGGGGTTGAGACCGAGGAGGTTGCCTAGGGCACCGACGCCAGAGCCGTGCTTTTGCTTGTGGGCGAGTTGCTTGGCTTGGAACTCCTTGCGAGCGATGGCTTCACGACGGGCGAATTCCGTGGGGATGTGCTTGCCTTCGAAGGATTTAATGACCTTACGGACGTCTTCGTACTGCATAGTGTGGATATACTCGAGGAAGGGAATGAGGTTGACAAGCTCCTTGTCGTTTCGGTCGCCCTTCCAGGGTTCAAGGATGATGGCGTTCTCGGGTTGGTTGCGGACGTGCTTGGGGTTGCTGTCAATGATGATCACCTTCTTCAAATCACGGTTGAGGTAAGAAAGATCCTAAACTGTTAGCGCAAGAAACATGAATGACTATTGAGGACGCTTACCTTGACGATCTCTCCGTCCTCAAACTTGGTAGCCTCTCGATAGAGGGGCCACAAAATTAATCGGAAAGGATCCAATTTCCTCATGATAGGCTCGCCAGTAGCAAACGGCACAGAGGTGAAGAGGACCAGCTCATAGTACTGACTAAGATACCGTATGAAGTAGTCGACACCAGGTCGCTTTGCAAGTCTCCAGCCATGTTCACGGGTCCACTCGCTGTGAACGAGGAGGTCGTCCAAGCTCAAACAGAGAGTATAAGGGCGCTCGAACGTAGGATCGGGATCGGGGAGGAGCTTCTCGAATGCAGGCTCCTGGTAGTAAGTGACGGACTCGGTCAAACGGGCCTTGGCACGCTTCCACCACAGACCAGGACCAGGGCCGTTGGGAATGTCAGAGTGACGCTCAGCTTCGATGGTGTCTTCCCAGTTTCGGCCCATGTATAGAACGCCCAGAGTACCACCGGCGGCAGCTGTGATAAGCATGAATCTTGTCCACCACTTGCGATTTCGCTCAGACGTAGAGACATATTCCGATCGCTCACGCCCACCACTAGACTCAGCCTCCTCCATCTCCTGCAACTCCTTCTGCTCCTTCTGCTCCTTCTTCTTATCACCGCCCATCTCCTCAAACAGCGTCGAAGGAATACCCTGCGTCAGATCGGGTAGCTTGTGGAAAGGTATTTGCTCCCCCTCCTTCGGAGTCTCGGTAGACTTCTCGCCAGCCTTGTCGACGTCATTCTCCGCAGGCTTCTCGACATTTTCAGCATCTTTTTGCGCCTGAGGAGGCTTCTGTTTCGAATCTTTGTTTTGTTGAGAGGAGGATTTCTTGGCGTATGTTCGGAGCCATGGCGAGGCAAATTGAGGAGCGGCGGCGGGAAGAGCTCGGAGAGAAGGAGATGCGACGGGCCGTGACAGACGAGCTGTCATCAAGCCCAAGCGCGAAGCCTGGGCTACTCTGGACAGCATAGCGAAGGGAGAGGAGCTGAACCGCTATGGTTGGAGGTGTTGTTTGGCGGTTTCGATGGTGAAGGATCCAACTTCAATGGCCTGGGGTGTTGACGTGCAGCTTGACGAAGTTGGTCTGATACTCCGCCATAGAATGGCATGGCGTCGTCGGCCGTGGAAAAAAATCGCACGGTTCTGGTCCAAAGTGGAGCTTCTTGAGGGTTGACACCGTGGATTAGCCGTGCTCAATGACACGGACTTTTGATAGGCCGATGGCGTCATATCTCTTATCGCTCACGTGAAATCGGGACATCAGCTCCGGTCGTCCTCCGATGAAGCACCCCTCCATGATGTTCAGTGGCCCAGTAAAGGCCCTTGTTCAGTGCATTGGGCATTCAAGTTGATGATATTCTCATCCCAAAGACGATATTTAACAGTGCAAGCGCTTCTTTATTTCTCATCTTATTTCCCTCGCTTCGCTTATGAAATCAAGAGTCTTCTAACGATTTCTCTTGAGCCAAAGAATTTCTCTTTTGCAAAAGATATTCCTTTTTTTCGCCACGATCTAAGAAGTCCCCGATTATTCCGACTAGCTACCCGAGACTCCAATTTGACGCCGCCGTTCTACAGTGCTTTCTCATCGATTGCTTCTACACCATGATACCCACTCTCATGATCAACCTCACTTCTCCAAACTAAACGAAGCCTTTACGAATAGACATTCAGCCTACGCCCTTTGTCATTTCCTTCAGCCCGACCTACCCACCTCATTCTCGTTATCGTCGAAAATCTCCTCTTTGCCACTTGATACTCACAACCACTCACCATGGCCCGACGATCGAGCAAGAGCTCAGCGTCCCGCCCAGCGCTGAGCTCTCGTCCAGCTGGCTCAATACGTATCGTAATGCCTTCTGCCAAAAGCGCACCTCCTGCAGAACCTGCGCCCGCCGTCACAGAAGAAGATGTCAACAAGATCAACATCGCCGACTTGACCCTCGACGTTCCTCTCATTCCTCTCCGCCCAAAACGCCGAGTCCCAAAAACGCCCTTTCACTTCCTCTCACTACCCGCCGAAGTGCGCATTCAAATTTACACATACTTCTTCGATGATGTAGATAAGCTTTTAGATCTCGGTCCTCAGAATTACAAGCGCGTGCACAAGAAACTAGGCCTTATGCGCGTTTGCAGACAGGTTCATGACGAGGCGACTTTTGCGTTTTATAGCACACGGACGTTTCGATTGTTTCCGACGTACCCTGGAAAATACTTCAAGAGCAAGAAGCCTCTCCTGGCGAGGTTGAAGCCGCAGCAGCGCAAGTGTGTTACTTCTCTTGAGTTGCGACTTGGTCCTGGGTGGAATGCGCCTCCCAGAGGTTGGGTTGTTAACCCCGCGCTGGGACTCTCCGACTGTGTTGACGTTGAGCGCCTGAACGTCTTTGTGGAGTGTGACCCTAGTGACAACATCTTCCAGGGCTGGCGTCGCTCCGATGGATTCTACGAGGGCTTCAGCCGAAATCTTTTGACTGATGTTATAGAGGCCCTGCCATCTGTTCACATTGTCCAGTTTGACGGCTGGACTAGCGTTAAGAAGTCTGGTGATATGATGCAAGGCCTCATGGGCGTCGTCAACGAAGCTGGTCTAGCCATTGAATGGGGCCCTGAGAGAGGATGGACGGACACCTCTGTTGACGAGGAAGATGAGACTCAGAAGGTGGGCTATCCCGAAGGGTTCCCCCATCCCGGATATGAGGCTCATGGTTTACTGGCGTTGGCCTGAGTGTACGATTCTCGCGATGGAGAGCTTTAGCTCGAATGAGATTTACGAAGCGGACTTTTATACTGGTATGCAGCAGAAAACACATATACTCTTAGCTTTATTCATAAGATGAACACTATAGTAGCCCTTTAATGCTATTTCAACTCGTGGTATCGTTCTCATCTATGCTTCGTGAATCCAAAACACTAACAAACTAGTCTTACTGCGCACCGAGCATTCGAAGTGCATTGCGTAGCTCTTGAACTGCAGTGGGCACATCTTCAAAGTTGAGTGCGGATATAGCCCACTTGGCGTGCTTCTGCGCCTGGTTAATATCCCGTTGATCTGTTGTAAACCCGGCAGTCTGGACAGGCGCTGGTGCTGGAGGCTGAGGAGCAGGAGCTTGCCGGATCACAGGTGGAGGGTTTGAAGCAGCAGGATGAGGAGCGCTCGGAGTCGTTGTCCAGGACGGAGGTGCTGAAGGGGTAAATGGTTCAGGCGGGGGAGGAGCAAACTGCGAGGGGAGCTTGGTGGGAATTTGAGGTGATGGTTGAGGAGGAATCTGTGTCGCAGGCTGTGCTGGGGACTCTGGCACTGGAGAAACAGCAGGTGGTAGACCAACAGGTGGAGGCGGAGGACCACCGGATAGACCTGGCGTAGGACTCTGACTCAAAGGCGATGGGACGAATGGTTCAGGCGCCTGGGGCTGATGCTCTGGTTGAGGAGGGAAATATCCAGGATCATCTGGGATTCTAGGCGGCGCATCCGTGAATGTAGGAACACTAGGAGGTTCTCCGGCATCTGGCGCATCCTCAACCGAAGCGCGAGGAGCTCCAGATAGAAGTTGGACTTCAGGATCGGAGGGGTCGAGAGCAACTTCTGGTTCAGGCTCAGGGGCATTGGGGTTCGTCTCGTTGGGATCCCTTCCTTCACGAATGGCCTTTAGGATTCGAGCAGCGTTCCATTTGGCGAATTTGATCTTCTTGACGACTTCGGGGTCGGGTTCACCCCATTCGCGAGTGAGGTCGAAGAACGTTGCAGCAGCGTCGAATGTATCGGCAGTTTGTCTTCAACTCGTTAGTCTTGTCTTTATAACACCAGCAAACGACATACCTCGTCACCTTGTTAGCGCGCATGGTGCGCTCAGCTCGTTCAAACGTCTGCTGAGCAAATTGCTCAACATAAGCTTGTCCCGCAGCGTTATCGACGATCGCATCATCATCAGCTCGTTCCGTCTTTGTAGCCTCGAGGCGCTCGATCAGTGTCTTTGTGAACTCAAAGGTATCGTCGTCGGTGGTATGCAGGCTCTTTCCCACGATTTGGTTGACAGCATGGTATTCACCTAAGAAGTGTTATAAGAAGTTGTCTTGGGTGAGGAGGTTTGTGGTTGTTGCCTACACCAGTATGCGATGGCGGGCTTGATGCTTCTCAGCTGATTTGCGCGATTGATGAAGCGACTGACTTCGGGGATTTTGAGCGCAGGTGGAAGAGGTTCTGCCATGTTGACGTCGTATCCAGGTGATGTTAGAATTGTAGTCGTAGAGAGTGGGAGTCGAGTCAAGATGGCGCAAATTAATGCCAACTCCAAGTCAAGTCAAGTCAAGTTGTCTTGGAGATCATTCACCCCACCTCCTCCTCTTTCGGTCACGCCTAGCATTGACGTAAGGTTAGCGGCGCACAGCCACTGGTTCCCCGGATTCGATCAGCTCACGCCACTTGTGGCTCTAGCTCAAGCCGTCGAATCAGAGACCCTGGCTTCACTTTTTGCGACGTCTCGTCAACCGTGGCTTTTTCCTTTCCTTTTCCAGAAGATGCCACTTTGTTCTTGACGAGGACCAACAGGCAACTATAACTTCTTTTTTGCAGTGCAAGAACACTGTAGAAGTGATTTCTTCTTCGCCACCATACGACTGAATATTGTCTCTTTGATTGTTTATTGTACTGTAGAGATACTTCACCATGCCTAACCCCACCTCGCTCTTGGTGACCTTGACAGCTGCCCTTGCGGCTCTGCCAGAGGCTCAAGCTGCCATCTACACAAAGAACTCGCCTGTTCTTCAAGTCAACGCTCGCAACTACGATAAGCTCATTGCAAAGTCCAACTACACCTCTGTAAGTCTTTTCATCTCATCACTATTGACTATCGCCACTTACACATCATAGATCGTCGAGTTCTACGCCCCATGGTGCGGCCACTGTCAGAACCTCAAGCCCGCCTATGAAAAGGCCGCCAAGAACCTCGATGGTCTCGCTCAAGTCGCTGCTATTGACTGCGATGATGAGTCCAACAAGCAGTTCTGTGGTGGTATGGGTGTCCAGGGCTTCCCAACTCTCAAGATCGTTCGTCCTGGAAAGAAGACTGGTAACCCCGTTGTTGAGGACTACCAGGGTCAACGAACTGCAGGTGCTATTCAAGAAGCTGTCATGAGTAAGATCAACAACCATGTTACGCGTGTGAGCGACAAGGATCTTGACTCTTTCCTCAAGGGTGATAAGCCCAAGGCTATCCTCTTCACTTCAAAGGGAACGACTAGTGCTTTGATCCGAAGCATTGCCATTGACTTCCTTGATGTTATTTCAGTGGCGCAGATCCGTGATAAGGAGACGGCGGCGGTTAAGAAGTTTGGCATTGAGAAGTTCCCCGCTCTTGTCCTCATTCCCGGGGAAGGCAAGGATCCTATTGTCTACGATGGTGAGATGGCCAAGAAGGATATGGTCAAGTTCCTCTCACAGGCTGGAGAGCCTAACCCCGTTCACGCCACTGGCAACACCAAGAGCTCAAAGCCCAAGAAGGCCGAGTCCAAGAGCGCTAAGAGCGCCAAGAAGAGCAAGGCTACCGAGTCTGCAAAGGAGGAGCCCGTTGAGTCAAAGGAGTCTTCCACTGAGGCTGCCGAGGCAGTTCCTACGATCATTCCTATCTCTACTATCTCTAGTCTGGAGAAGCTCGCCGAGGAGTGTCTCGCTCCCAAGTCTCACACCTGTGTTCTTCTCTTCACCCCCAGTGAAGCTGGCGAGAAGGCAGTCGACTCGCTCTCCCACCTCAACACCAAGTACGTCCACGGTGGCCGAAAGACATTCCCCATCATCGCTGTTCCCAGCGACAGCGACGCTGCCTCTACTCTCCCCAAGGCTCTTGGATTCAAGAACGAGGTTAACCTGATCGCTATCAACACCCGCCGCAACTGGTGGCGTCAGTACGAAGGTGACTTTAGCCTTGCCAGCGTTGAGAACTGGATTGATGCTATTCGCATGGGCGAGGGTGCCAAGAAGAAGATCCCCGAGGGTGTTGTCGTCGAAAAGACTGAGGAGAAGTCTACTCAAGCTACTGACCCCGAACCTGAGGTTGAGACTGACGGCCCCAAGGAAGCCAAGACTGAGGTTGAGACCGAGGTTGAGATTGAGTCCGAGACTCCAGCTGAAGCTGAGGCCGAGGCAAAGACTCCTGAGCCGGAAGCTGAACCTGTCGCTGAGTCTGAAGCTGAGCCCAAGACCAAGGAGGAGATCAAGCACGAGGAGCTGTAAGGGGAATGAAGCCCTTAAATCTTACAATTAGTCTGTGACTATAGCTTTGATAGCGAAGACATACCTGTCATATAGCAGACCAAACAAATAACTCCAAAACACTTCTATGACCCAATGCACATGGTATCTAATCATCCAAATCCATTCCCATAGCATCGTTCTTCTCCACCGCGCCCTCCCTGACCATCTCAGCACCCTTATCCTTAACAACCTGATCCAAGAACTGCTTCACCTGCTTACACCCGTCTACACCAACGACCAACATTCCCTCCAGTCTGCTAACCTGCACACGACTCTCGCATACGAGTACAGCTACCCGATCGTCATCACCCTGTGTCGCGACCGTCAAGAAGGGCAGTTCTTGCTCTTCTTGGTTGTTTAGATCGAGGAGAGGATCGGCTGTGTCGTCGCCCGCGGCATATGTTGATGTTGAACCAGCTGTGCAGGCGGCGATGTAATCTGTCATTGGAATACCAGCGTCGATGAGGGCGAGGGTCGTTGCGTTGAGAAGAGCGGCGAGGAGGGATCCGTCTTGCGATAGAACGTGAAGAGAGATTGTGATAGAAGAGTGAGGAAACAGGTGTGTATGTAAATTCGAAGAAAACGCATTCGCAATCGTCGTTTCAATCTCTTGTATGCGCCTAAACCATTAATTAGTCCCAAGTCTTTTCCACTGCCCAGCAAGAAAACATACTTGTCATTACGCCCTCTCTTTTTTCGATCCACGCTCGAAAAACCCGCTACTACAACATTGACGTTGATAGATGCTGTGTCACGGGGAGCTTGCTGTCCACCACGTCTTTGAACCTGCTGCTCTGAAGGACCTGTCACGATGCACATGACTTTTGTATGGCCCGTTTCAAGATACGATGAGCCGTCAGCAGCATCTTGAGTTCGGATTTGCGCATGCAGACGACGGAGCTCGTTCCATCTTCGGCCGTCGACGCGCAGAAGCGCTAATGAGTATGTTGACGTATCGAGAGGCATCTTGCGGTAATGAACGTATAGTATCTACGGTTCTCTGGAGCTCTGCGCATCGCGAACTGAATTGATGGTGGGGGAAATTTTCAGATGTGGCTGAACTGTGGCTTGACCTCCAACTCTCGGATCATCCCAATGTTTCGGATTAATTATCGACCAATGGGGGGCCATCGGTTTTGGAAGAATTGATGACTGCATCTCCGATGTCCATTTACGGCTTTACACATGCCCGAGATCAACACCAAGAACGGAACGGCTGAGGTGCTGGTGATGTAATTGTCGGCCGCCCTAAGTCCGGGAATTATCCAATGACACTCGGATCTTTGCGACAGTTGAGTTTATCCCGTTTGCCAAGATGCGCTGAACTTTCCTTATCGGAGACCGGAGTTAGCCAATCGCCAATGGAACTCTTAGCAAGATATGATGCATCGCTAGTGTAGACGCTCTTTGGGGTTTGGGCTGAGGGGTTGTTGTATATAAGTTGTTGCTTGCTCCCCGTTGAGAATCTCATATCATCTCAATCTCATCGATTAATTAACAAGTCCGTCTCAATAACTCAATTAAACACCAACCATGTCTTCTCTTCCTCAGACTTACAAGGCTTGCGTCCTCGACAAAGCCAACGCATCATGGAATCTCAGCGACGTCCCCCTCAAACACCCCTCCAAAGGCCAAATCCTCGCCAAGGTCCTCGCCTGCGGCGTCTGCTTCTCTGACGTCGCCACTGGCGCTGGCCACATGGGCGATGTCTTCCCCCGTGTTCCAGGCCATGAGATCATCGGCGACGTGGTCGAAGTCGGCGAAGGCGTTGAGAACTTCAAGAACGGCGACCGTGTAGGTGGACCCTGGCACGGAGGCCATGACCGAACTTGCCGACAGTGCCAGCGCGCCCAGTTCCAGATGTGCGATAACAAGGCGATTAACGGTGTCAGCCAGGATGGTGGGTTTGCCGAGTATGTGCTCTTGAGAGCGGAGGCTGTTGTTCGTGTCCCGAAGGAGTTGGATCCTGCTGAGGCTGCTCCTCTTCTCTGCGCTGGTGTCACTGTCTTTAATGGCATCCGAAAGTTGCATGTTGAGCAGGGAAACCTCGTTGCGATTCAGGGTCTCGGTGGTCTTGGCCATCTTGCTGTTCAATACGCCAATAAGATGGGCTATGAAGTCGCTGTTCTTTCATCAGGCGATGATAAGGCAGACTTTGCCAAGCAACTCGGCGCCCATCACTATATCAACACCAAGAAGAGCGACGCAGCTGAAGAGCTCACCAAGCTTGGTGGTGCCGCCATCATTGTGCAAACAGCACCCAACCCCAAGGCCGTGGCACCACTCGTCAATGGCCTCGCTGTTGAGGGCAAGCTACTTAGCCTTGCACCTGTTGGGCCAGCAGAGATTGATACGGTGCCGCTAGTCATGAAGGGCGCGAGTGTTGTTGGCTGGCCTAGTGGTCATGCACTTGATAGCGAGGAGGCTCTTCGATTCTCCATGCTTCACGGAGTGAAGTGTATGATTGAGAAGTATCCTTTGGATAAGGTACAGGATGCGGTGGAGAGTCTTCAAGCTGGAAAGCCTCGATTCAGGAATGTCTTGGTTATGCAGTAAAGTGTTGGAAGTGTCTGGGTTGGCATTACAGTTGGTTGTAAAATGAGCGATGGTGTTGGCGGCTGTGGGGCAGTTAAGACGACGACGACGAAGTTATATACGATTGAGATGAATGAGAAACGATGATAAAGAACTTGGCCACAAGACGCAATTGAGTATCCAGCTCTAGTGAAATCTCATTCCAACCGTGGTCTCATGTACAAGGTATAGAATGAAGCGTCTTGTTATTACACAGAACTGAGGATGGCATAACAATATAGGGTAAATGGCGCCCCAAACATATCGACACAAAACGACCGAGATTAGTGCCACTTATGGAAAACAATGCTTAGTTTGAGTTAGATCAATTGAACAATATTGTATAGACAAATGAGTCTTCGTGTAAATATTCACAACGTCTCTGTTTGGGCTGGAGTTCCATGATTATCGTCAACTTAGCTTATGTACCTGACATGCGAGCTTAATCAAGCGCTAGGCACCACGCTCTGAAAGAGGTTGAGACCTCCATGTGCGGTAAGAATTGACAGGGAAACAAATAGAAGGCTGGGATTGAAAGGCTGCCTTATCAAATACAGTATACTATCTGTATATAGAGCAATCTTGAGCTGTAATGCTTCGACGTTTCATGATGGATCTTCAGCAAACACCAGCCCCGCAGTTTGGCGCTCCCAAAACTCAACATCTCCAACATCACTCATGAGACTACTATTGCTTCTCACTCACCCGCAACGACTCTCTCTCCTCCTCTCAAAGTAGACATCTCAAAATCTTCACACAATGTTTCGTAAACCACCACAACGACCTCCCTCATTCACAACAACACCCTCCGCCATCCTCTCCCAAACATCATCCCTCATTTCATCAACCACCGCTCTCGAAGACACCCTCTCATCAAGCCTCACGCCCTCAACCGCCACATTCTCAAGTCTTCTTACGCCAATGCTAAATGATGATCACGCGGTATCTAAACATACCCTCATCATTCGTCTCTTCAGCTCCGTGTCTGAGGATAAAGACCTCCGCGATGCATCCCGTACAGCGGAGGAGATGCTTCTCAAAGCCAATTCTGAGGCACTTATGAGGAGAGATATAGCTGCGCTTGTTAAAGCTGTTTATGAGAAACATCAACGTGGGGAGGAAAAGCTGGGAGAGGAAGATGCATATACTCTGTTCAAGACGCATAGAGCATACCAGAACACTGGGGCCGGCGTTGAGGATGAGGATGTGAGGGAGCAGTACAAGGCTGCTGTACAGGAACGAAATGAAGTTCTCGTCGCAGCGCGCAAGACAATCAGTGAATCCGACGAGGGCATCTTCTTCACACGGGAACAACTCAACGGCGTACCGACATCAATTCTCGACGCAATGAAGACCAACGACGACGGATTCCTCAAAGCAACCTTCAAAAAAGGCCACATGATCTCAATCATGAAACACGCCACTAGCGCTCAAACACGCAAAGCCTACAACATCGCCAAAGAAAGCCGATTCCCCGAGAACGTAACCCGCCTCGAGCGCGCTGTCGAGCTACGCAATAGCACAGCGCGAATGCTAGGCTTCAAAACCCACGCTGAGCTCAAGATGCAAGATAAAATGGCAAAAAGTGTTGAGAGCGTTATGGAAATGCTGAATAAATTGAGGACAGAGTTGAAGCCGCTTGCGGATGAAGAGATGAAGACGTTGTTTGAGATAAAGAAGGCTTATATTCGCGATAACGGTACTGATGAGGATGGAGAGGATGTAAAAAGGCTGAACGCGTGGGACTGGGCGTTTTATGCAAGAATATTGGAGAAGGAGAGATATTCTGTTGATTCACTTCTCATCTCGGAGTATTTCGAGGTTAACCACAGTTTGAAGGGTATGCTGAACATCTTTGAGGAGATCTTTGGGATGGTGTTCATACCCACCGATGTGCCGGTATGGCAGAAGGATGTGACTGTCTACGAAGCTTGGAATGCTGAGGATCAAGGTGGCGAGTTCCTTGGATATCTCTACCTCGATCTTTACGCACGAGAGGGGAAATACGCTGGTGCGCATAGTTCCCTCATCCAACCTGTAAGTCTCCCCAGCACAACGAACGGAGTTATGTCACTGACGATCTCAGGGCTTCATAACATCAGACAACAAACGTCATTATCCCTCTTCATCACTAATAACGTCCCTCCTCCACACGCCCTCCCAGCCAACTCTCCTCCTCCACTCCGAGCTAAAAACAATGTTTCACGAGCTCGGCCACGCAATCCACAAGCTCGTAACACACACCAACCACCAACACGGCTGCGCACGCGACTTTGTCGAGATCCCCAGCATTCTTCTCGAGAACTGGATCTGGGTGCCCTCTGTGCTCCAGCGCCTAGGAAAACACTACTCTTACTTATCCCCTGAGTATCTAACCTTCTGGAAGGCTAAGAACGAGGGCGTGAGGCCGGGTGAGGTACTACCGGAGAAGTTAGCGCTGGATATTGCTAAGACGAAACACGTTAATGGTGCGCATGCGATGCTTTATCAAGTGTTTTTGGCGCTGTTTGACCTTACGATTCATAATGCGGTGGAGGGAGGGGCTGTTGATACGACGAGGTTGTGGAATGAGAGTAAGACGGAGATCATGGGCTTGGGAAGGGCGGATAGTATTGGACAGGCGTCGTTTGCGCATCCGTTCAGGGCGTATGATGCTGCGTATTTTACTTATGCCTTGTAAGTCATCACCTGAAGTGACGATTGGGTTGCTAACACGTCTCAGATCAAAGGTGTACGCGACCGACCTTTGGGTTAGCCACTTCAAAGCTGATCCAATGGACAAGACCACTGGTCTACGATATCGCGAACTTGTTCTTCAACCAGGAGGAAGTCAACCCGAACTCAAAAGTCTCAGCAACTTTCTCGGCCGCGAACCCAACGACAAAGCATACTACGGCGAAGTTACCAGCACACCAGGGACAAAATCGTCAGTATTGTAAATGTATTAAAGTGCAATATTATCCAACGCTTATATGCAAAAGAGGGTATCATGGCAAGATCTATCGTATATCATACTCGCTCAGTGCACCAATCTCATCCTAGGAAACGGCGCAGCCTCAACATCAACGACAACCAATCCCTTCTCGTCCAGTGATGCTCCGACATCTGTGATCGGCGTGATCTTTCTCGTGTGTGCAACTTCTTGGCGACTGACACGACCTTCGTCGCGAGGAATCCACAAGACGGGCTTTTGCATCCAGAGCTCAGGGGGCCAGTAGTTAGATAGTTTCTCGTCGCCGGAGTAGTCTGCGTCAGCGAGTTCTTCGAAGGGAATTAGTTTTCGCAAGGCGATAAAGTCTTCGTAGATCTCGGGGTGGAAGAACCGCTGGATGAAGGACGGAGGTTGATCCGGATTCGACCTAGGGGCGGGGAGAATCCATCTGTCCAAGAACTTCTTAACTCCTGACTCTTGCACCTCCTTCTTCAATTGCTCCTTGGCGCTCGACTTTATCCATTCCGTAGCCATCAATCTCAGACCACCTGCACCCTCGACGGCCCTCGAGCTCTGTGGTCCCTCGTGTAGTTGATCGTCTTCATCGTCTGTCGGCACATCCTCGAATTCCTCTTCACCAAAGGTCTGTTCCGTATCGAAGTAACTGGCAGCAGTTCCCCCATTGGCCTCTCCCGACTCCGCGGCTGCTTGGAGCTTTGCTTCCGCTTCAGCCCTCTCCTGCTCCTGTAATTCTTCCTCCAACGCCAATGTTTGTGGCAAATTCTGCAGCAGGGGCGATATCGAGTCTCTCAAGGACATGTGCACAATGACTGTGAAGATGAGGAAGATGAGCATCAACACCATAGGCGGGAAGGCGAGATTTAAGGCAAAGAGACCAATCATGCAGATTTCGGCCAAGTAAAGTCCTGTGATGAGCTGCATCAAGGCGGTGGGATAAAACAAGCCCATGCTATCCATTTCCGAGTCGAAGACGTAAAGAATGTTGTATCGGTAAATGAGGCGCGTAAAGGCCATTCCGGCGCATGCAAAGACGAGGATTAATGGAGCGATAACTGTGTAAGAGAAGGCTGGGAATGTTAGCATGGAAAGGGGATGATTGGCTGTACGACTTACCAATGCACGCCATGTTTGTATAGATCGGGAAGATGCCACCCCAGCGAGGGGGACGAAGGTTGTACCAAACATTGAAGCGAGTCCTGGGATTCTGTACCACTCTACCGAATGCGTGGTGCCTGATCAGCTCGAAGATGTGTAGGAGACCAGTAGCTCCAATGGCCAGACACTGGACGAGGATGTAAGAGAGGTAAAAGTTTGACGCCTTGGGAAGGTTTGTGGCGAGGAGACTGGGTGTCGACATTGGTTGCTGGATGATTTGCATTGTCGTGGCGGAAGCGGCCGATGTCAATGTCGTGATCAAAAAGACTTGTACTACCTGGAAAGCAAAGTAGACCTTTTGGGTGAACAATTCGACCAGTACCAAAGAGGGAATCCCTGCTTGGACACCGCAGACTAAGGGAGTTAGTAGGTGCAACAAGGGATCGGGAATAGTAGACTTACATCTAAGCATTGCCGGGACAAGCGACATCCAGAACGACAGAGCAATAGCAGGGATAAAACCTTGAAGGAAGCCAAGGATAGGACTGGGCAATAACTTGATCCATTTGAGGAACACGATGCCACTCAAGAACTTGATGTTGGACACAATACCGATCATGGCAGATGGAATGGACCAAAAAATGATAGCAACGGCAATGAGGCCCATGATGAGCAAACGCCGAATGATGCGCTCCCACCAACGCATGCGAAGAGCACTCCAGACTACCTCATTTGGTCGAACGCCCAAAAGACGAGGAGCGAGCTGCAGAGGACGATGATGGGCGACGACTTGATGAGCAGCTTGGGCAGCTTCCTGCGTGTCGAACTCGATGAATGCAGCAGGGAGTGTTTGTCCATCACCACGGCGAACCTGGCGTCGAAGCTTGAAGATCTCGAGGTTCAGTTCCTTCAGCTTCATGCGACACCACCGAAT